TTTTATCCTTAATTTTCTTCAAGCAATCCTGGTTGCTGTTTGCTCATCACCTTTTCCTCTGTCAGCAATGCTGGCTTCTGTACTCAAACAGTTCATGGTTAGTCGGGAAAGACGGAAGAGTAAACAAAATCTAACAAAATTGAGGACTTTTTGCTCCTTTAACGGCTGTAAAGGTTACTTAAGGGAGAGGCCACCTTGTGGTAAAGGTTGGGATTGCACAGGTGGTCTTGGAAGATGGAGAATCTTACTGACAATATCCACTAATCCTGTGAATATGTAAGTTTAGTTTTGCTTATTCTGCTGTATGGTTTGTTTGGGTTTTTTTTCTTTTTGGTACCGGGGGTCGAACTCGGGACCTTCCGATTGCAAGGCAGGCAGCGGAACCACTGAGCTAAATCTCTGGCCCTCTGCTGTATGTTTTTAAGTAGGTTTAATGCAAGTTTTCCTTTCACTTCAAATCTTTACACCTCACATTTCTTTATTTTTCCTCTTACTACTACCAAGCCATCATATGATAACTTAATCTCCAATTGTAAAGAGAATGTGTCTAAAGTTTTCCTTTAAGAATGACATTCGTGCTAGGCCCGGGATTTAGCTCAGTGGTTTTGCCGCCTCCCTCGAGTTCGATCCCTGATACAAAAAAAAAAAAAAATTTGTGGGGCCAGGGATGTAGCTCAGTGACACAGCAAAAGAATGACATTTGTGGGGCTGGGGGTGTGGCTGCAGGGTAGAGTGCTTGCCTACCATGACTGAGGCCTTGGGTTCAATACCCAGTTGGGAGGTGACAGTTGCAGGCCTGGGGATGGAGATGGTGGTAGGGGGTGGTGTGGGGACAAGGGGTACAGTGATGCAGCACACACAGGTCCCGGGTCTGATGCCCAGCACCAGGGGAAAAAGAAGCTTGCAAAGGCTGTTGTGCTCTGGCTGGTGGATATTCCACATGCGCAGCAACACTCTACCTACATCCCAACCCGGGCAGCCAACTTGCTCTTGCTTTGCTGCTGCTCTATTCCTTCCCTGCTGTCATCAACTCCTTGCTGTTTAGCATTGTGGCAATCCTTCACTACACTGCAGGCCTGAACGTACTCAGAGCTGAGTACGGAATGCTGCCTATCCATCCTTTTGCCGATCTGCCACCGTCCAAGGCACACCCAGCTGTTGCATGTACCCTCCTGCCCTAGGCCCTGTCCCTGCTACTGAGCATCCTGGAATTGTTCTCCTCGAGCCTCCCAGCTACTTTTGGTCAACATGCCCTCATAAAAGTTGTAATTTTTTTTGGTACCGGGGATCGAACTCGGGTCCTTGCGCTTGCGCAGCAGGTGGCGAAACTACTGAGCTAAATCCCCAGCCCTGATAAAAGTTGTTTTACCATTTAAAAAGATATTTGCCAAAGATTTCTGGTAAACCGTTTATCAAATTAGACAAGTTCCCCTCTATTATTGACTTTTTATCATATACTCATACAGATGTTCAACACTATCAAACAAAAAATTTTTTGAGACAGGGTCTGTGTACTCCAGGCTGGCCTCAAACTCTTGGTAATCCTCCTGCTTAGATTACAGGTGCTCACCACCATGCCTGGCTTCAAATTTTTTCCTGTATCTATTAAAAAATTATGGTTTGGGGCCAGGGATTTAGCTCAGTGGCACCACACCTGCCTTTCAAGCCCAAGGTCCTAAGTTCCATCCCCAGTACCAATAAATAATGGTTTCTCTCCTAAGTGGTACATTTTTCTGATTTTGAATCACTCTGTAGTATGGGTATACACTATACTTTTTTTTGTACACTATACTCTTGATAAGAGCTGAATTTAGACTTGTTAGGATCTTTTATCAATGTTCATAAGTGATATGAATATTTATTATATACTTACCACATTATTCTCATTAGACCTGGGGATCAAAATACATTGCCCTCATACAATGAACTGGATAGCTTTCTCTTTTTTTAGCTATCCTCTAGAAATAATCTTGTACAAGACAGGAATGAACTGTTCCTTGAAAGTTTGTTGGATTTTAGCCAGGCGTGGTGGCAAGCGCCTGTAATCCCAGCCCTCAGGAGAGGCAGGAGGATCACCACTAGGCCAGCGTGAACTACACAGCAAGAACAGGTCTCAACACTGCCCCCCCACACACACATGGAAGCAAGTTTGTTAGAACTTACGTGAAAAATATCTGATCCTGGGAGAGGGGGAGGTGCCCTGTTGCCTTTGCAGTTTCTCTAATGCATTTTGTTTTCTCTAAGTTGTTTTTCTTGTACCAGTTGTTTTTTTGAGACAGAGTGTTGCTGTGTTTTCAAGACTGGCCTTGAACTTGTGGCAATCCTTCTGCCTCGGTCTCCCCAGTGCTGGGATTACACAGCCAAGTGTGCACCAGACCTGGCTGGCATTATATATTTTTCGTGACTTTCTAGTAATAAATCCATTTCATCTAAGTTTTCTAGTATTTCAGTAATTTGAAGATTTTCTCCTACCTGTAGCTATTTCCCTTAAATCTGCATTTATTTGCACATTTCTTTTCGGCTTTGAGCAGTTTTGCTGGACATGATGGCCCAGGCCTGTAATCCCAGTACTTTGGAGGCAGAGGCAGGAAAATCACCAGGTATTCAAGTCCAGCCTGGGCTACATAGTGAGTTCAAGGCCAACCTGAACTACATAGCAAGACCCTGTCTCAAAAAAAAAAAAGATAAAATTTAATTAGGGGAGTGGGGTACAAGGGATCAAACGTGGGACCTTGCACTTTCGAGGCAGGCGATGGAACCCCTGAGCTAAATCCCTGGCAAAACTTAATTTTTTTTTTTTTTGGTACCGGGGATCGAACTTGAGTCCTTGTGCTTGTGCAGCAGGCAGCAAAACCACTGAGCTAAATCCCCAGCCCAAAGGGAAATGTGGTTGGTACACTAGATCCTCATTTTTTTGGGGGGGTTACGGGGGATCAAACTCAGGTCCTTCCACTTGCAAGACAGGTGGCAGAACCACTGAGCTAAATCCCCAGCCCCTAAAACTTTATTTTTGAAGTACCAACTTTTGTTATTTTCTCTAATCCTTTAGTTCTTTGATTTCAACTTTTACCTTTATTTTTTAAATTTTGCATCTGATTGGCTCTACTTCCAACTTTTTATAGTAATTGACTATTTTGGTAATATTTTTAAACTTTCCATCATGAAATAAATGTAGATTTATAGTTGTTAAGATGTAATTATACAGAGAAATCCCATGTGATTTCCATGAACTACTGATGGCTAAGAGGGTGAGCTGACTGTGAATTCACAGGCAGCCTCCTCAGCTGATGCCCTACATCTTCTCAGGACTAACCAGCAAGGTCATCACAAGACGCACCCCCTAGCTTTGAATTTCCAGAACAATGAGCCAAAATAAACCTCATTTTAAAATAAAGTTACCACCTTTATCTCATTAAAAACAAATAAGGGGGGGGGCAGAGATTTAGCTCAGTGGTTCCATGCAGAAGGTCCCGAGTTTGATCCCCGGTACCAAAAAATACTAAAATAAGGGAGTGCAGTGGTGCATACCTTTAATCCCAACTACTCAGGATGCTGAAGCAGAAGAATCACAAGTTCAAAGCCAGCCTCAACAATGAAGTGAGATTGTCTCTCCAAAAAATTATGAGGGCTGTCAGGTGTCACGGTACACACCTGTAACCCCAGCACTCTGGGAAACTGAAGCAGGATCACAGCCTGGGTAATTTAGTGACTCATCCAAACCCTGATTAAAGGGCGGGGGGGGCAGTGATGTAGTTCGGTGGTAGAAGGCCCCTGGGTTCAAAACTTAGTACCACAAAACACACACACAATGACCAAACACAAGTTCCAACACAAAGACCCTTTACATGGCCCTCTGACCCCTACTTTCACTTTGAGGCCTTGGCAACCAATCTGTTCTCTATCCATGTTGTCATTTCTATGTTAAATAAATTGAGTTATACAGTAGTTAACTTTTTTGTTTTGTGGTACTGGAGATTGAAACCAGGGCCTTCACACTGAGTCTAGGTCACTAAATTGCCCAGGCTGGGCTTGAACTTGTGATCCTCCTGCCTCAGCTACCTAATTATCCGCTATAGCACTCAGCTGGCAATTTATGTTTTTTATTTACTTTGGTTTTTTGAGACAGGTTCTTGCTATGTAGTTCAAGCTCATGGTGATCCTCCTGCCTCCGCCTCCAAAGTGCTAGGATTACTGGCAATTTCTTTAAAAGACCAAACATGCACCTACCATAGTGCCCAGCAATTGAACTCTTAGCCATTATAGAAACAAAGGCCTACCTAGCTGGGTGTGATGACACACACCAGTAATCTCAGCACTTTGGGAGGCTGATGTAGAGGATCACAAATTCAAGTCCAGTCCCGGCAATTTAGCAGTGACTTAGCAAGGGTATCTCAAAAGAGAATAAAAAGGGCTGGGGATGCAGCTCAGTACAGAGGTCTTGGGTTCATTTCCCAATATCCCAAAGAGGGTTGAGGGGGAAACATGTTCACACAAAAACTTGTTTATAAATTTTAACATATAGCATATTCAGTATCTTTCAAGTCCAACATTTCACATTTTAAGGTTTCATTTACTAGACAAATTTGATAGGATTATAGGTGTGCCACATCTGGCAGTTGCTTTCTTTTCTTTGAGACAGAGTCTCACTATGTAGTTAAGGCTAGCCACCATATTTGGTGCTAGTATTTATTTTTGCAGTACTGGGGACCAAACTCAGGACTATATTCTTGCAAAGCAGGTGCAGCACCACTGAGCTAAATCCCTGCCCCTGGTGCTAGTTTTTAAATTACAGGTTGGGCTGGGGTTGTAGCTAGGTGGTAGAATGCTTGCCTAGCATGGACAAGGCCCTGGGTTTGATCTCCAACACTGGAAAAAAGAAATTACAGGTTTTAAGATTTTCCTTGTTCTTAGTGGTAAATGTGCAGCAGAATTTCAAGAACATATACTCTTAATGACATTTTTAACATATAAACACCTCCATGAAATAAATCTCAACTACATTTAAGTTTCCCAGTAAAATTTATTACATTTTAGTTTGCATTTGTCTTAAATATATTACACGCAAGGTAACAAGAGCAATAGAACATTAAGGGAACTGTTTCACATTCTTAGTGTCAACTTCCTAGTTAGCCTGCTTGCCTCCCACAGCAGATGGCCTGCTTTTGCAGTTATCCCTAGATACTCGTCTTTCATATGTGCCTGACGGGGCTAGGGCAGATGGCAAACTTCTTAGAGCTTTCAATGATAACAGCCTGCTGTGGCATGCATGCCATGGGTTCGCCACCAGTAGCTGAGAGTGTAGCTCAATAATAGAGTGAGTGCATGCTTAGCATGCGCAAGGCAATGGGTTCAATCCCGAGGGCCAAAGGGGATGGGAGGTGGGGGTGGGGATGGTGGTTGAACCTTGGCTTTACATCTGGCCTAGGAGCAGTCTGTGACCCCATGAATCCAGGCCACCAGCTATGTTCGGGTACAGCCTGCCTGAAGGCTTCTCAGCAGTTAGCGATGAGCGTGTAGAGAACAGCTGTTCTCTTGGGAGAAGAAAATACCACATAAAGTGGCAGCTACAATTTTCTAACAGAAGAAGAGATTAGCAAAGAAAAAGAATCTAAGGATGGAGTGAATACTCTGAGAATAGAGTACTACAAACTGGAGTGAACAGGAGGGCTCTCCTGAGTCCAAGTGCTTACATTTATTTTTAAAAGTCTGATAAAAACTGACTTAATTACATTTCACACAATAATATTTAGTAAGCTTTGTCCCAAAAGGCTGTGTTTTAAATTCATTTGTAAAAATAATAAAAGCTTTATCCCTCAGCCTCTGGTGAATAAGAAAGGAATAAAATCTTACTAGAAATAACAATAAATAATTTTACACAAAAGTCCAGGTAACATACGACTACTATATTAATCAATATATTTTCTTTGTATTTACAATAAATCTATTTAATACTGTAATAGAAAAAATGAATCAGTCCACATTCTGTAGTAGAATCAGGCCTTGAGGATGATCATACCTCTTACAATGAAAACATACAAGGATTTCTCACATAGCTAAAGGACTTTTCAACATAACCACTTCGAGGTAAAAGAAAAGTGACAGAGTACTTTATTACTTACTATTTTTTTATATTTTTTTGAGACAGGGTCTTGCTATGCAGTTCAGGCTGGGCTTGAGCTCGCTATGTAGCCCAGGCTAGGCTCAAATTCATGGCAATCCTCCTGCCTCAGCCTCCCACATGCTGGAATTATAGGCATGTGCCATCATAACCAACTAAAACTGACTGATTGGCTATGACCCAGAAACGAGGAATCAAGGACATTACCATTAACTGAGCAGCAAATAGTGGTTTAGTTTTTTCAGGACTGTTTAAATATAATTGTTACCATGTGAGAAGTTAATTTTACTGAGTTAGAAAAATAAAAGGTCTACATTGAGAAACTGCACTAATCAAAAGCAGACCCCAAACAAAAAAGTCAGCAATAGAAATAAAACATTCTTATAGGTGTACTATACATAAAAAGGATAATTACATAATCTATTCCCTAATGACCAGACTAATAAATGAGGTAAATTTTACAGTCAGTGTAACAAATAAAATATATTTAACCACTGGTGTCCTGCTGCCTGTTTTTGTTTGAAAATATAATTATTCTTATATCTAAAAACTATATGCCTTGAGTTTGTTTTTTAGATCCCCTTTTGAGATATTAGAGACACTGTAACAAAATATCTTCTGAATACAAATTATCAACATCAACAATAGTTATCATGTAATCTTCATTTTATATATGAACTAGAAAAAAACCCCTATGGGCTAGGGATTTAGCTCAGTGGTTCCTGAGCCTGGCTTGGAAGCTAAGGACCTGAGTTCAATCCCCGGTACCAACAAAAACAAAAACAAACCCCACACAAACTAAAAATAAAATTCACAAATAGGTAACTTGATATCCTTTCCATTATGGTGATCTATTACGTTTTTTGGTGGGGTTTTTTTGGGTACTGGGGATTGAACTCAGGACCTTGTGCTTGTGAGACAGGCACAGTACCACTGAGCTAAATCCCCAGCCCTATGGTGATCTATTAAGATGCAACCTCTAAACAAATATATTACCTCAAAAATAAAGAGAAGGAAAATGTAAATCTTGTTTAAGCTTTAGTTAACCAGCTTATATCCTCTGAAAGAAGGCTAACATTAGGAAGAACTGTACCACTTTCTACTGTAGTTACTAGACACAAGAAAAATATTAAATTGAAAGTATCAGTTGGACCAAGAATTTCATACCACATGACTACTAATTATCTACCTATAGCTACCTCTGGTACAGTAACATATCTATTGCAACTACTGATGACAGCACTTTTCAAAGTATATGAATTTCCATTTTTACTTTCTTCTCCCCCTTGCCACTTAAATACATTATTTTAACTGATGGGAAATTTTATTCAGGAATTCCTTGTTTCATTCACTGAAGAGGTGATTTAAAAAAGATAAACAGAGGAGCTGGGCATATAGCTCAGCTCAAGAAAACTTGCCTAGCTTGCTCAAGGTTTTGGGTTTGATCTTCACCACTGGAAAAAATAAAAAGGAGAAAAGCCATATATGGACCAATCTGTGACTCCTGAGATGATGACAATGATAATGATGACAGAATACTTAAAACCCAGATAATTTTTCACTCAAATTTCTGCTTTAGCTTTTTTTGGAAGATGGCTGGAAGAATAGAAAAAACAGCTAAAATCATCAGAATAAACACTGAGTTCCAGGAAACAGCTTCTCCTGCTGTTGTAAGCTGGTACAATGTTGTTCCTGCTTTAATTGCTACAAAAGAAGGAGGTGCAACACCTAAAATAAAACAAAAACACACAGTAAAAAACAAAACTTGTTTTTAAGAATTAAAAATTTCTGTGTGCATAAAATTTCTTTAAGAACACAGCTATTGTTATTTTGGATAAAAGACCATTAAGAATTTAAAGCTCTTTCCGGGGATTTAGCTCAGTGGTTTCGGCACCTGCTGTGCAAGTGCAAGGACCCAAGTTCAATCTCCGGTACCAAAAAAAAAAAAAAAAGAACAAGGTCCTGAGTTCAATCCCCAGTACCAAAAATATAATAATTTAAAGCTCCTAAAGTTTATTTCCATATTAAAAATTCAATTTTTTATAATCATTTCTTAAGGATAATGAATTTTAAAACCAACGAATGATTCACAACATTTAAGTCTTTCAAAAAAATCTGGAAACAGTCTAAATGTTCAGAAATAAGACTGAGTACTGCAGGTGCAGCTCAGTGGTAGAATGCTTGCCAAGGGTTCAGCCCTGAGCACTGGCAAAAAAAAAGAAACAAAATTGAATAGATTGTCTAGAGCAGTGATGTTGAACCTTTTAGATACCGAGTGCCCAAACTATAACCCCAAATCCACTTATTCATTGCAAAGTGCCAACACTGCTGTGAAATCCAAATGCTTGGCTGCTGGGGCAACTTAGCTCAAAGGCTAAAAGAGAGGGCTTTGTGCGCCTGCTACAGCACACATGCCACAGGTTCGCCACCACTGGTCTAGACAATCAAAATATGAGAACCAGAGGTTATAAAAAAGTAGCCAAGGAATGATCATATTTCATGAAAAATCAAAACAAGTGAAAAACAAAATTTCTAGCCATTTTATTTGTAAAATAAGGAGATAAGAAACAATATACATGCTGATAAAATTGTCAATGAATTTCTTTAAAATATTAAGCCGCTACACCCAGCTTTAAGCCTTAGCAGATACTCAATACATGAGAAATCTGCTCATTATATCTCAACAATTCAATTTAAATTGTACCACCTCTGCCTGCTGTGCAAGCACAAGGACCTGAGTTTGATCCCCAGTACCAAAATAAACAAATAAATAAATAAATAAATAAATAAATAAACTGTACCACCTCAACAAAAGAAAAAAAGTGGAAAAAAACACAGAGCATTTACTAACGGACCACAGGAATTCAGCCAGGACAACAGTGTACATCTGTAAACACAATACTCTGCGAGGCTGAGACAGGAGAATGGGCAACTGACTCAGTGAGATCCTGTCTCAAACTTTTTTTTTTTTTTTAGGTTTTTGAGACAGAGTTTCTCTATGTAGTCCAGTCTGGCCTCAAACTTATGGTGACTGCTGCCTCGGCCTCCCAAGTGCTGGGATTAGAGGCACGCATCATCAGACCCAGCTCAAAATATTAAATAAGGGTTGGAGATGTAGCTCAGAAGCAATCCCTAGTACAGCAAAACAAATAACTACTCCTCAATAAAACCCACATACACACATATAAGAATTCATAGAATATGGGGGCTGGGGATTTAGCTCAGTAGTACCATGCCTGCCTTGCAAGTGCAAGGTCCTGAGTTCAATCCCTGGTACCCCCAAAAAAAAACAAACAAAAAGAATTCATAAAATATATAAATTAATCTTCACGTCCATTGATTAATTTCAAAGTCAGGTGTCAGGGCCTTGAAGACGAGAATGTTGATTCTGCATTCCTTGTACTTTTGGTAATATATACACACAGAGTAAGTGCTGATTTCAATAAAATGAAAAATGGGGGCCAGAGATTTAGCTCAGTGGCACCATGCCTGCCTTGCAAGTGCAAGGTCCTGAATTCAATCCCTGGTACCAAATTAATAAAAATAATAATAATAATTAAAAAATGAAAAATGGGATCATCTCTCTACTGAAAATTAAAGTTCAATATTTCACACTTGATTAGAAGACAAAAGAAAAAAATTTAAAAACAGTAACTTTTTTCTCTCCACTTGAGGGAAAGACTAGAGTTAAAAAGTTCTGAGGACTGGGGATATAGCTTAGTGGGGGAGCACCTGCCTGGCATAGGCAAGCCCCCAGCTTTGATCCCCAACACTAAGGAAAAAAGTTCAATATCCAATAGAAAGTGTTCCTCTTTAAGAGGTAACAAAAAAATACTTTTCGGGGGGGGTACCAAGGAGCGAACTCAGGACCTTGGGCTTGCAAGGCAGGCACAGCACCACTGAGCTAAATCCCTGACCCATAAAAATACTTAACACAATGCACAATCATTGCTGAGGATCTATCTGTGCAGGGCAGGCTTTGTGCCCAAGTACTTGATTCGATCCTTGCAGGCTGCACAGGCCACAACCCGGCCAGCTAGACACTGCTGGGTAAGTACACAAGGACCCCCGACAGAGCACGACCCAAGGGCCTTACCGAGAAAAGTGCCGATAAAAAAAACTTTCAATGGCACGTTTATCACAGGAGATGTAATATTAATAAACCAATTAGGGAGAAATGGTGTTATTCTCAGAAATATAATGTAGTTAATGAGATGTTCTCTATGACGTTCAACCTGTCATAAAAAAAAAAAAAGAATATTAGCATCAGACAAAGCCAATCCTGAAAATAAGCTGCTTAACATAAAACAACGCATTTCAATTTCTCATTCCTGATATTTCAGAATTTATCCAATATGAATACTTTTTGTTACACTTGCTTTTTTCAAACAGGGTCTTGCTATGCAGTTCAGGCTGGCCTTGAACTCACAGTGATCCTCCTGCGTCAGCCTCCCTGAGTGCTGGGATTACAGGTGTGCATACCCTGCTTTACAGTATTTTGTTTTGGTACCGGGGGGTCAAACTCGGGACCTTGCACTTGTGAGGCAGATGGCAGAACCACTGAGCTAAATCCCCAGCCCAGTATTTTGTTTTTTGACACAGGGTCTCCCTATGTAGCACAGACTGGCCTCAAACTTATAGTGATCCTCCTGTCTCAGCTTCCTAAATGCTAGGATACAGGCATCCACCACCACTCCCAGCACCTTTTTTTTTGTTGCTCCAATATTAATCATGTGAAATAGAGTTTAAAAATGATAATTTTTTAAATGCTCATTACCAGAGATAAATGAGTTGGGTTTTTTTTGGTACCGGGGATCGAACTCAGGTCCTTGTGCTTTCGAGGCAGGCAGAAGAACCACTGAGCTAAATCCCCGGCCCAAATGAGGTTTTTAAAAATTGTTCTAATAGTGGTGGTGAACCTATGGCACACATGACTCAGCAGACTATCTGTATCACTGAAAGCTCTAAAAGCTTTGCTATCACTGTAGGTCAATGTTATGCTTCTAAAGATGGTACAATAATGCTATTAACACTTAAAATATCAAATAACTTACATAGTTTACATTCAAGCTGGGTATGGTGGTACATGCTTATAATAACCCCAGCACTTGGGAGGCTGAGGTAGGAGGACTGCCCCAAGTTTGAGGCCAGTCGGGGCTACACAGTGAATTCTAGAGCAGCCTGAACTACACAGTGAGACCCTGTCTTAAAAAACAAAAACAGGCCAGGGATTTAGCTCAGTGGTTTGGCCACCTGCTGCGCAAGTGCAAGGACCGGAGTTCAATCCCCGGTACCAATAAAAAAAAACAAAACAGTGCCAGGGATTAAGTTCAGTAGTCCCACTGCCTGCCTCTCAAGCTCAAGGTCCTGAGTTCGATCCTTGCTACCAAAAAAACAAAAAACAAACATTCAAGCTGGATATGGTGGTACACACCTGTAATCTCAGCACTCTGGGAGGCAGAGGCAGGAGGATTGTAAATTTAAACCCAGCCTGGACAAAACTTAATGATTTAGCAATACTGTCTTAAATTTAAAAATATAAAAAAAGGCTAGGGATATAGCGCAGTATGAAGGTGTTCCATACCTAATACGACACATAAAAGAACAAAAGAAAAGGGAAAGAAATCAATTCGTAGAGAGAAATCAATCAGCCAACTTTTTAATGTCTTCATCTTTCTACAGTGTAATGAGCAACCTATCACAATAACAAATTTAACTCCCAACGCATTTGTCCATGAGTGAAGCTGGTGCTGGGGACTGAACTCTGGACTTCCCACATGCTAGCCAAGCCCTCCCATTCGTCGACACCCCCAGCCTCTAGCTCCCAATTTTTAAAAACTTCAGATTACAATATATATCATATAAATGGATTCCTTCATTGTCGATAAGGAGGATTTTAAAAGTATGCTGGTGCCGGGGATTTAGCTCAGTGGTTCTGCCGCCTGCCTCACAAGTGCAAGGAAGCACAAGGACCCAATTTCGATCCCCAGTACCAAAAAAAAAAAAGAAAAAGAAAAAGAAATAGATGATAGAAATAGAGATGCTTCTTAGCTCGTACCCATCACTGCTCAGCTCTGCCAGGCTCCTGGCTGGAGCACAGTACCCCCAGGATGCATTAGAAGAGCTGGAGGATGCGGGTTTTCAGTGCCCCTACAAGCGTGCTGCATCAACACACAACACAACCCATGTAGTGTCCAAGAATGTGGACGCCTTCAGAGTAAGGCTTTGATTTTTCAACGACTGAATTTACTAAGATAAAGAATTAATGTTATCATTACGGAGGAACCCAGGATGTAACTCAGTGGTAGTGTGTTTTGCCTGAGTGAGGGATTCCCTAGCATGTAAGGAAGAAAAAAAAGATAAAACAATCATTACAGGCATTGAAAAATCAAAAATTTGTATATAAAATTATTAACATTTGTGAAGGTATGGCAGTGCACACCTGTAATCCCAGACCTTCAGAGGCTGAGGCAGGAGGACCTCTAACAGTTTGAAGCCAGCCTGTGCTACATAGCAAGTCCCAGGCCAACCTGGACATAGCAAGACCCTGTCTCAAAAAAACAAAGAAACAACAATAATAACATATATTTACCTGCTGTGACCACTTTACTGCTTTCTCTGTTAGGTATTTGTATACAACTGGTCTCCCAACTAAATAGGAGAGCATATAGCAGAATGAGGCACCAAGTCCGGAACACTGGAAAACAACAGAAGCCATAAGTACTTTATATTTTCCCATCTTAACCACAGGATTAGGAAAAGCTCAATTAGTTTACTTCTCTGGAGGACAGAGAGGTTGCTCTGCACATCTCTTATGCAGAGAACTCACTTGATGTAGACCTTTCTTAAACCAAACTGTAATTCAAATGGTATCAACTAAAACAAACTGGGATTTGCAATTAAATTTGAGACTACTGTATATCCAAATAATTAGTTAGCCTTTAGCATAACAATACAGTTTCAGGAGCCAAGCTTTTCTATGCTCTGCCTAAAAGCACTGCCCCACCCCTGGGACTTAATTCATTGTGCCCACCCAAACTCTTAGACTGTTCAGGTTACAAAACACAGGAGCTGGGTGGGCATGGTTGCACAGCATATAATCCCAGCACTTCAGAGGCAGAGGCAAGAGGACTGCCAGGAGTTCAAGGCCAGTCTGAACTACATAGCAAGACCCTGTCTCAGGAAAACAAAACCCCCATAATAGGAAAGACTGAGAGCTTATAAATGCAATTACACCTATAATATCCCAGTTCTAGGGAGAAAAACAAACAATATCTCTTCATTGAGGAACTTAACAAGTAACACTTGAACATCAACTGCTCTCGAAGAAACTTACTGGACTAGTGGGACTAGGATGACATTATCATTCTCATCAATCTATTTAGAGCTATTTTTTCCAGTCTCCCAATTCAATTTATGTACTTACCAAACAAACAAGAAACAAGGCTAGTGGAAAGGGATAAAGGAACCCTGAGAGTATACTGAGAAATATTGAGCCTGGAATAGCAAATGTCTGCAAGCTGTTAACTTTTAAGTTAAGGATTAAAACATAATCAAATAAAATTTTAAAAACACAAACCCAACATTTCAGAAAAAACTACAGACACAGAAACCATCATGTTATTGAGAACATACGCATATTTCAGTACTGGTTGAGTTATTTCCTATTCAAAATGCTTGGGAACAGAAGTAGGATATCTGCAGCATACACATAATGTCTTTGAGATGGGAATGAAGTCTTAGGTCTAGACTCATTCAGGTTTCATATACCTTATACACAAAATCTGAAGCTAAATTTTATGCAGTATTTTTACTTGTTTTGGATTCTGAAGCATTTCAGGTTTTAGATTTTTTGGATTAGGGATGCTCAACCTGTATTAAAAGATAAAGTAAAATTACATCCAAATGTATTAAAAATGATTCCTCAGCTGCAATGCCTTCAACCATTACTTATCAATAAATACAAAGCTGACCATTTACTTATCAATAAATACAAAAATATAAAATACAGTAAATAAATACAATGCTAAAATTTTGCTACTAAAAGAACAAGACAAATATCCAACATGTACCAGATAGAAAGGAATTGGACAGGGCCAAGGATTTAGCTCAGTGGTTCTGGCACCTGCCTCGCAAAGCGCAAGGTCCCAAGTTCGATCCCTGGTACCAAAAAAAAAAGAAAAAGAAAAAGGAATTGGACAATGTGACCAAAAAAATGAAAAAAGAAATCTTCAATAATCTTTTTTTTTTTGGGGGGGTGTACCGGGGATCAAACTCAGGTCCTTGCACTTGCAGGGCAGGCAGCAGAACCACTGAGCTAAATCCCTGGCCCCTTCAATAATCTTTTAAATAACATATAGAATTCTCTAATGCATTTTGATTTACTCCCAATTATTCTCAGAAAACAGGATTTCTATAGAAATCTAGGTACCTATAAGATATAATTATTTTAAATTTAACTATAAAACTTACATTAACTACTCATTTAAAAAAGAACTGAGGGTACAAGATGTGTGGTGCACATCTCTTAATTCTAGCACTTAGAAAGCTGAGACAGAAGACAGAACTTGTCTCAAAAACCATACAAAAATAAAGAATTTCTCTACTTTTGTGTATGTTTCAAATATTCAAATACTTAAACAAAAAATTTACTTCTAACAATTAAATAAAAAGTTACTTTTTTGGTCTAGGGAAACAAAAAGATGAAAATGAGTGATTTTTTTATGGTCTTGGGGTCTGAACTAAGGGCCTCCATCACTGAGCTACATTCCCAGACATTTTTTAAATTTTTATTTTGAAACAGGGTCTTGCTAGGTTGTCAGGCTGGCCTCAAACTCATGATCCTCCTGCTTCAGCCTCCCAATAGCTGGGATTACAGTTGTTATGGTTTTTATACAGATGTTCCCCCAAAGCCTCATGCACTTATAGGTAGGGCTTTAGGGAGATATCTGGACCGTGGGGTGATAGGTGAGTGTGATGGGAAAGATGGGTTACTGTGGGCGTGCCCTGGAACAGTATACACCCCTCCACCCCTCTGCATCCTGCTTGCCTAGCCATGAACTGTTTCTCCTCCGCGGCGCTGCCCAGCCGACTATGGACTGAAACCTCTACAAACCATGACTCAAAATAAACCTCTCCTCCTTAAACTTGTGGGTGTTGAGTATGTCTCAGCTATAAGAGCCGCATGCCCCTATGCCCAGCAATGACACTTTTAATGTCATCCTCTGCTTAAAAGTCTTCAATGACTATTCAATACCAAATAAATATTCTAAATTCTTTAGCTTGATATTCAAAGTCCTCTGTAATGGGAGCTCAGCTGCCCAGTGTCCTAGACTTACTTCTCAGTCCTCCTCACCTATGCCCTCTACTCCTGCTAAACTGGACCACAGATTACTTCCTAACAATGCTCCGTGCCTGAGGGCTCTGCTCTAGGCTGGCTCTGTGCAGGCCTGTGCTGTATCTCTACCTAGTATTTCTCATTATTCCAGCTGGAAACAGTTTTCTGCTTTTGAGTACTCAAAGCACTAGATTAGTCCTTAGCATATAATTAGTACTTTAAGAAATTGGTTAAATAAATGAAAGCTGGAGTTTTAAAAAAGGAAAATATAAAAAAGAATACACAAGAATTTGAAATTAGGCCTCATTCAAGAGGTACAAGTGCTTGCACTGTTGAATTCAGTAGCACTTGTCTTCTGATGTAGCCCAGGCTGGCCTCAAACTCAATCCAGGAGCCTTAGCTTCCCAAGTGCTAGTGTTACAGGCATGTGCCACCATGGCCAGCTTACCGATTATATTTTGAAATGATAAAATAATTGGTATACTGTTTCAAATATGTATTAGTTGAATTAATTATAGGTGTTCTTTTACTTTTTCGAATGTGCCTGCAAGAAATTTTAGAAGTTAAAGGTGGCTCACCTTTTATTAATCAGCCCTATTACTAGTAAAACCAAAACAGTTATGTGCCCTAAGACAAAGTATTTCCCTTTCCTCACCAAGTTTAAACATTTATAATTTAAAATTCAAAAGTTTATAGACTATTGTAAAAAAATTTGGATTT